CGGCTGTCAACATTTGCTGTCTGTCGCTCTGGCTGTCTGCCCGGCTCTTTCTCTTTTTGTCTGGCTGTCCCTTTCGCTGCTTGTTGATTGTTTTTTGCATTTAATTTTGCATTACTTTTGTTGCGATGTTGCAGTTTTGATTTCTGCTGCCAGCGTGCTACAAATACGAACAAAAAATAAGGGCGTGCCTCGCCCTCCTTTTCGAATGTATTTTGTCAGTCGCTTTGCTTATTCATGCAAAGTTTTGCATGTTAGCTTTGTCCACTTTTTATTTCAGTGCCGCTTTCACTACACGTTAAAAGATATAGACAAAAAGAGGGTTAGAGGCAGAGAGATAAATGAAAAGTGCAACAAATATTTTAATGGTCCTAACTGGCCGCCCACCCACAGGGCAAGCAGGTAGCCAGCAAGCCAAAATTTGTTGAATTTTGGCCAGCGGGTTGTCTCTCTTTCACCTGTCCCAGCGACGGCGACCAAATGCAGCGTCAAGCTCATTACGAGCACAATTATAAACATGATGCTGTTTGCTTTCTGTAGACGAAAGCGCAAAATTTTCCTAATGAAGCCGGCAAATGCAATGGCAGCAACCGCAGCAGCAGCAGCAACATCAGTTAACTGTATTATATGGCCATGACCAGCTGTAAATGTTGTTGCTTTTTAGCTGTTGACTTTTATGATTTCCATTGCATAGCATTATTATGGACAGCAAATAGAAAACATGGCCAAGCAAAACGAGAAAATCAATAGAAAATCCCCTCTAACAAACTTACAAGCTGAAAATGAAGTGAGCTGCAGGTGAGCTGCCGGTGAGCCGAGCTCATGCCACTCTGATGATCTATGTGCGTATGCTATAAATCGTAACAATAACAAACACGGACACTTGGCCAGACAACCGGCAGACAAGCCAAGCCCAAGCAGCTGGTGCCAAAGATGAAGCAAAAGCTGCAGCTGAAGCTCGACATGGACGAGCGATTTCACTTGACAGCAACAGCCACAATCATAGAGTGAAGCGAGTGGAGCAGTTTTTGGCTTCACTTCTAGTCCGAGCACAACATTTCCCTCGAGCTCCAGCTCGCTCTCCATGCAGGAGGCGAACAACAATATTCTGAATTCGAATACAAACAGCATAGAGTTCGTTTCTTTTGCATGTACATTGGCTTCTTGCTGCAGCCAAGTTGGGATCAATATAAGTATAGATTGACTTAAAAAGAGCTATGAGATAATGCTAGCTTAAATTAAGCTTAAGAAGGCTTGACGTGAAGCGCCAAGTGCGCTTGGAAATTTGAAATCGTTGAAAATTAAATTTGATTAAGATAAAATTTTAAGAGAATTTATATAAATTTTAATCATCTTGAAAGCGACTAGAAAATAATATTTCCTTAATTTATATCGATTAAAAACTATTTAAAGATAAAAACAAAATATTTATTTATTTTAAATACATCTAAATATTTTAATAAAAATTAGTTTTAAGCAATAATTAAGAAATTATTTTCTTACTATCTCACTCAGCTCAAAATGAATTAAAAAATTCCCAGAACTCCATTAATTTTTAAATGCATTTATAGTTGCCATTTGTTTGTTTTTCCAAGTGTATGCATCAATGGCCAGTGTTTACTGTACATTCTGTCCACTGTCAATTTGAAATTGTTGTAACATGAGAAATGTGGAGCTGCTCAGTGTTATCTATGGGGATAGCCATTGCTGCTTGGCAAATGCCATTTATTTGATATTACAACGCTCGAGTGCCGCACACTCAGCTTCCTCTTGAAATATTGTCGCACACACAATACACACGCACACACACACACACAACTCATAAAAAGCCCATTTATAACTGTTAACTTGTACAAAAGTATTTACAGGCGATTTAGCCGCTCACCGAATTACAACCAGCTCACAATTGCAATTGTTTATTTGTGTTTTGTGTACCGCACCACCCACCCACCCAACTACACAGCCACCCTCTTGGCTCTGCTTTCCTTTTAGCCAGCAATAAAAAGTATTGCTGTTGTTGTTTTTTGGTTGTTTGTACAATGTTGTTTGTTAGCTGTTATTGTTGCTATTATTACAGTTGTTGCTTTTGTTTTTGCTTTGCTTAGCAGCTGCTGCTGACACGCACAAAAATTTCCAATGCAACACTATACAAAAACTCAAGTGCGAAAAATATCCCTATATATATATGTATATATATATATACATATATATAAATGGGCTGCCATTGTTCTATGGCTGAATGGGTTTTCGCTAGTTGAGGTCGCGTCGAGTGTTAACTGACACTCGGTCACGGGCACAGCCAGGTGCCAGTTACAGTGAGCACTGCAAACGAAAGCCCAGCGAACGTACTTTAGAAAGGTACACCAACAAACACCCATTCTCTAATTACTTTCAATTAAATAGTTGCAGCAAAAACAAAAAAAAAAAGATTCTTTATTAAAATGATTGTAACTTTCCGTAGGAAAGGTTTTTCAGCTTAGGAGCTGTTTACCATTTACTTAAAGGCCTTTTCGACAATTGCCTAGAAAGGTAGCCGCAGTCGTTTGTCGTTCGACTTTCACAACTCTAAACTGTTTTTCTTACAAAGTTGCATGCAGAGACAGCAGGCTGACATGAGAATCGCATAGAGCGACGGACATTCACCGCAGCACAAAAAACTGTTATGCGGCTTGTGTTTGTTTTAGACTTGCAATGATTACACACAAAAAAAAAAGAAAATATCAAAATAAATATTTAAAAAATATAAAAAAAAGCAACCTATAATATTTGCATTATGTTTTATCTGCTGTCGCACAGGTAGTATAGTAACCCAGAGAAAATGCGAATTTAGGGTAACATGGTTTTTTGGGAATGTATGTAACAGGCAGAGGCAGGTGTGGCAACCAACATCAAGTCCATATCTTAAGCAGGATAAACAGCTGAGTCGAATATATCTATGTCTGTTTATAACTATGCCTATATGTCATGTCATGGCCGTCCGTGTGAACATAGCGATCTCATAAATCACAAAAAGCTAGAGACTTGAAATTTTAAATATATATATATATTTGATTGTTAATTTTTTTTCTTGATAACCTATTTTCTTTGGCTTTGGCAAATTCACTCATTGGAAAGCCATTATCATGATCTACAAATTTTTTAAGTCCATTTAGAAGAAAAGTTTTTCAACAATTTAGTTCCTAATAGTGAAGCCCTTAGCGCAGCACACGCGCAGTCGCTGCCTAAACTGCGCAGTAAGTTCTTATGTCAGAGTGCTGTTTGTAAAGTATGTGTTAAAGAAGCGTTGAATGATTGGAATATCACCTCTTCGCAGGGTTCAGTATATCCTCCAGTCGGTTAGTCCCGACTGCAGCAATTTTACTTGATTTTTTTTGTTTGTTTGGATTTTTGAAAGCGCATTTTGAAAGCATTAAATTTATGTCACCCTGTTGGCCATTGTTGACTTTTATGCGTTTGACGCTGTCAGCGCAATATTCCATATTGATTTTTAAATTTTAAATAATAAACAAAAGTTTAATTCTATTGTTTTCTCTTCATTCTCATTTCTTTGCAGCATTTAAAGGCCGGAAAAACAGAATCGATAGGTAAGCGTTCAATGTTTCCATCTCCTCTTTGGCATACCCTAGATTTTTTTGTTCTGCTTATTAAAAAGTTGGCAGGCACTTTAAAAATGGAAAACCGCATGCACACACGATACTGCAGCATATTTTTAGTTTCTTGGCATTTGTGGTGTTTTTTCCTCGCCAGAATTGGGACAACAAGACGCATAAATAACCAGCATGCCAACAGATAGATAGAGAGTAGTGGCATGGAAAGCAAGAAAAGCTAAACGAGACTCAGAAAACTCAGTAGCCACCAGCACTTAGAATAGCAAACACAAACAGGCGACAAAGTCATGAGACGGGATTAGATGCAGGAGCGGTGGGTGGTGCGGTGGCAGTGGCTCGAAAGGTATTGCAACTAAATACAAATGCGCCTGTGCCGAGATGAGAGGCAAAGCGGAGTCTCCTCCTCGACATGCCCCTTTGCCGTTGGCATTGGGGGCAAAAAGAAAGCGCCGCAACGCCTGGCAAAACAGTTACCGGTTCTGAGACAGACGGACAGGTTTACTTTTCCGTTGGGTACGCTACGTGTGTGCCTGTGCGTGTGCGTGTGTTGCTGCGGCTGTGCTGTGGCTGTGTGTGACAAATCAAGCGAGAAAAAGCCCGTGCGAGAACCGCTCGAAACGTCAATGGCCAGCGGAGCAGCTGTTGGAATTGCCGACTAACCGAGTGCAACCACAAAAAGTACTTGTTAGAGATGGGCGCGTGAATGGACTGCAGAAGTGTACTACGAGTAGCATATTAGAATTTATTTATGTGAGATATGAAAGGATAGCAAGCACTTTGAAAGAAATTATCAAAAAATTTCTCATATCAGTTGTATTCTCAGTGCAGAGCTGTGTAAGGAGCCTTCATAAAACCCTTGAAAACTTATGTCATATATAATATTTATATAAATGGGCCTATTCAGTTTTCAGCAGCAAGTAGAAGAGAATTAAAAAACTATTTAAAACAGTTTTGAAGTTATTCTTTTTCAATTATATTTTATATACTATCTATTCATAAATAAACTTAAATATAACCTTATTAATAGAGTTTCTTTACTGTGTTACATGTTCGTGTCAAATTTGCATTTTCGTGTCACGCTCTCCGCTCTTTTAGCTGCTGCGTAATGGCTGCAGGAAATTGAAAAACTTGCCAGTTGTGGCTGTTGTTCTTGTTCCTCTGGCTGTGGTTGAAGTTAGTTGCTGTTGCATTTTCTTTGCACTCAGTCCCAAAAAGTCGCCCCCTGGTAGACGTCGACGGTGTCAGAAGCCAAACACCTTGGCTTGTTTTTCGTTCACACCAATCGAGCAGCCGCAGCCGCAGCAGCAGCAGCTGCTCTTTGATGATTTATGCGCCTTTATTGCATATCGCTTTAACTTGCAATCTTAACTTAAACGGCGCTGCAACTAATCTATCTTAAACTGGATGCTGTTTGAGCTTGGTGTGTGTTGCATGCTGTAGCTTTTGCTGCTTCTGTTGCTGCTGCTTCAACTGTTGCCGTTGCATGTTGCTCTCAAGTATATCACGGTACTGGCGTTCACGATTTAGTGCACTGCGCTGCTGATAGCTGGGCGCCGCCAGCTGCCATTGGCAACGCTGCTGCCAAATTAATTCATTGGTCAGCTGCAGCTTGGTGCTGGCCACGCGCATCAAGCGACGGCAGCGCTTCGGGCGCCTCAGCTCCTGGCAATGCAAGTACAGCGCATAGCCCAGGGATTCCATGATTCTATTGCTGCTTCTGCTGCCAAATTCGGACATTGTCACTTGCTTGATTTGCTTTCAAAGATTGAAACACTTTCGTTGCTTGTCGCTCGCCAAATGATGCAATCTCCGCATTAGCAGACACAATTTAAAGGATAACAGGTAGATGGGTGGGAGAGGCAGGTAGTTATATGTAAATGTCATTCAGGTCATTTTTTGTTTGTGTGTAAATAGTATATTCTATGTGTACTCTCTTAAAGCTGAACTAAGCTGTTAACGGAAAAAGGTGATTATACATTGCTCTCCAAAACACCTGGCATAAAACAGGCAAGAGTCAAATAGTTTTACCTTTTTTGCAAATTATAAATCATATAACTTAGGCTCTTAGAGAAAGGTTATTATATAAAGTTGAGCTAATGAGCTGATAATATGATGTAAACAGACTACTCGAATAATACTTTCGATTTTATTATAATGAAATTCATGAGAACTTTCTTCAGCTAATTCCTTTGAATTCCCTTGTTTCAGTACTCCACTAATTGAGTGGATCAGTTGGTCCATATGGCTGCTAGCGTGAAATACATAAGCTAACTTTTTTCTTAGCAATATATAAGACTTGCATGTCAAGAGAGTTGCTTTGCTAGTTTCTTTAGATAGTTTCATGAGACTTTCTTTAACACTCTATTTTTGAACTGTTTCTTTAGACAGTTTCCGTGATAGTTTCTTTGAAGAAAACTTGCTTATGATATGTATATATATTTACATATAGAAACCATTAAGAATATACTTCTCCGTCTTATATAAACTAATTACATTAACAATAGTCTCTAGTGTTCGTGTTAGTTACTTCTATAAATATAACTTTTTTATAGAACATTTCCGGCTTTAGTGGGCCCATCCCCAACCCCTCTATTAACTGCACCTCTAATTGGCTGACCAATCAAGTTTATATATGCGCCTATTCAATCTGGCTTAAGACTTCAGACTTTATAAGCTAATCGTAAGCTGCTCTGCTTAGACAAATCTATGGCTAGTGGAAAAACTGGCAGCGCTCTTGAGCGTTTTTTTTTGTTGCTGCTGCTACCCTGTGGCTGTTGCTGTTGTTGATGCTGTTGCCATTTGCAAATGCGCTTTGCATGTTGCTGCTAATTGGCAACAGTTGTCGATGGAAGAGTTTTTCTTGCTGCTTTTGGTTCTAGCCTCGTTTTCGTTTAGGTTTCGACGTGGATTGCATGATTAATGAACGCCGTTATGCTTTTACAAGCAGAGCCAGCTCTTCAGCTGCGGCAGCACTAGCAGTAGCAGTAGCAGTAGCAGCAGCTGCCATGTAATTTGAGCGCATGCGTCGCTGCCTCTGCCGCATCGCTGCTTGGGTCTGGGCCTAAATCCGAGCTGTTGCATAAGTCGGCTTTTGCTGTTTGTTGTTGTCATTGTTGTTGCTGCCAGCACCTCCATAAAACTGCGCACAAGAAACAATAAAACACCAGCAAATTAGAAATTACCTTTTATGTGCAATACGAGGCGAACAAACACACGCAGAGACTGAACAACAGCGTACAAAAAAAATGGTAACAAATTTACACACAATGCGCAGTTGGCCAGAAGGGGTAGCCAAGGGGGTGGGGCAGATGGTCTGCCTGGCTGGCTGGCTGCCTGCCTGCTAGCAGTGCGTGCATTACGTCAGCAGCAGACGGCTCATTAAGGCAGACCAGCGCTTCGCTACGTAAATCGGAACTATATAGATAAAGATATATTATATCCATGTGTGAGGCGGAAATTAAAGTGGCCCTAATGGGCGCTCGTCGTGCACAGTTACAGTTCAAAGATGCAAAGCTGCAAAGATACAAATGTATCTGCAACGCTAGGCAATTGCCATTGATGGCTCCGCACTTAGAGCAGATCTACAGCTAATTAGGCTTGGATAACTGAACGCATATAGTGCAAAGAAGAGAGAGTACAGTGACTAGAAACTTGTGCTGTGAAAGTCAGCTGATGCATATAACTTTTGTCAGCTGCCGTCGCATTACAATTTTATATCCGACAATACGCAAAAATGTAACTGACAGTCCACCCACAGCTGCCTTCTGCTCCCCTATTGCCCCTTCGATCAAAACTTTTTCGGCTCTGGTCCGAAAAATTGTATTTTTCGCAACAAAACAGGAACAAAATTGCAACTAAAAAAGTACATAAAACAACTACAACTGGCCATCCACATCAAAATGCACATAAATAATAAAAATAACCAGCAACAGGAACCAACGTACAACATAGGAATGGCATGGCATGGCATAGCATGGCATGAAATGGAATGGAATGGAATGGTGCATCATCATCAGCAAACAACATTCAAAAAAGCTTTTGTTTCGACAACTGTTAATAGTAAAAAAAAAAACAAATGTACATATAGAACTCGTGCTGTCTGCCAAAATTATGAAATTAATTTTCAAAAATTTTAATTATGCAACACTGGCTGCAACATGCAAATTGAATGCAACATCAAAAGTTGCCACCAGTCACCAATTGTGACTATGGGTGTGGTCTGAATGCTGGTCAGCATAGAGGATTAGAGTTTGCTATAGAGAGCTTGCCGACAAAGTGTGTAATGCATAGTGAAGAGGAGAGTTGAGCAAATGGAATGCATAGATAAGGAGATTACAGCAGAGTAGATAAAATTGGGATGGTTTTGTGCTTTAGCCATAGTGCTATACTACTAGCTTAGTACTACTAGTCTTTCAGCTTTTGATAGCATCGATAACATAGAACAGCCAATGAAACTAAGGAAAGGAAAACTAAATTTTCATTGCAACTTTCATATGATTGATTTAATATATAACATTTAAAATAGATGATATGACATCATTCATGTAACATGTGTATATCATGTATCATACTTCATATGTCATCTGTCATATATCATATAAACACAATTCTATATTCATTAAATATACTTAAGCACATGTCATGTCGCTTTTATTTTTTTGTCTATCAAAATATCTCACTCAAACTTGAGCCTGACTTTTCTTCTAAGAGTTCCAAATTGCTTATTAAAATATTTTAAATTAAATTTAGATTTTCATACTTTTTACATGTATAAACAAAATCTTAGCAACTATGTCACCAAAGTTCACAGGAAAAATGGGCATATAACTCAGTCTTTCAAGATATCTCAACAAAAGAAAGATCGAATCAGATGACTCTTCTACATATATGACAATAAGTCATCTATCTCTAAGAGCATACAAGCTTTGATCTGTCATTTGCTCGAAATTTTCAACGCTGTCCCTTACAGCGTGCTGATGCATTCATTTTTTTTTTGAGGTTTTGTTGCTGTTTCTATTTTAGTTTTAGTTTCAGTTTCTAGTTGAGCGTTGGCCACAGTGGCACCCATTAAATTGTGCTCACGCACACTGTTGTGTGTGCTTAAGATACACACACACACACACACCGAGACACCAACACACACACTCGTGCATGCCGTGGGAATCATTGTGGACGACGGGCTTTGGCTACCGCTGCTCAACTTTGATTAGAGTTAAGCCCTAAATTAGTTGCCTCTGTTGGACATTGGCTGGCGACCTTTTGGGGTCCCGTCGTCAGCGTTTGTTTACCTTCTGCTTTGTGGGGCATAATAATCAAGTCATGAGGTTTGCAACACACTTACACACTTACACACTCGCTCATATGCACATAAATCGTAAATTCTTAATTAGCATGTCGAGATGTCTTGATTTGTTGTCTAGCACGAAACAGTTTTTCGTATGTTAATAAGTATCGTGTTTAGCAAGGCTATAAGAATTATATTTCGTAGCTATTTTCGGGTTATATATTATAATAATTTGTATTATAATCTGAGCTTTGCTGATACTAATTGCAGTTAAAAGCAGTCTTAAGACTTGATAATGAATCGAATTAAGACTTATTTTTTGAGATAAAGAAAAATTAGAATATTGAAGATAATACAATTTGCATGAATTAGTAATAAATAAAATATACAAAAATATTTTATAAAATTAAGTTTAATAAATAAGTACTTAAACTAATTTGAAAAACATCAATGGGCTTGTCATACTATAAAGTTCAATGTCAGCGACAGTTCTTGGCTTAGAGCTACGCATGTAATAGGAAAACTATATAAAATTTACCTTACTTAACTGGACTTGGCTTGTAAGAAGTAAAATGAAGCAAATAAAAATATTATTCAGATATTATTATATTATATATATAATATATTTAATTTCTTATACATCAAATTGAGTGTTAACAAAAGCTTTAAAGTGCATTTAAAGTTCGTTAATTTCCTTTTCCTTTGTCTTTTACATTGTCCAAGCTGGCAGCGGCTAGTGGCCAAAGGGGCGTTATTAATGTACCACACGCTCTTGAAGCAATCCAAGTGTTAATCGTTCTGATTCAGCCAGCTGACAGGCGAACAAGCACGATAACAACAACAACAGCGGCCAACAGTTGTTGGCTTAAAGGAAACGGGAAATAGCAATACGATAAGTTGGCTCTGGAACTTATTAGCGCACAGTTTAATAGGCTCAATTAATGTCAACTGCGTTGCCTTAAGGCCAAGTGAAATTTTTCGCTTTTTTGTTGTTGTCTCTTGAATTTTTTGCGCCGAGAGCGAAACGAAAGTAGAAATAAAACTTTTCGAATTGAACATTTGTCCAAATGCATAAAAATTAATTAACAAGTCTCAGCTGCGAGCAGCCCATAAAGCAGAAGAATTATATGAAAATTGAGCAAAGAAAATCAAACAGAAGCTGAAGCAAAAGCAGCAGCAACAGCAAAGGCAGAATTTTTAATTGGCTTTTCAAGCAGAATTGTTGCTGTTGTTGACGTTGGCGTCGTCTTTCGCACATTTAAGCCTAATTAATTTTCTACTTAACGCTCAGTTTTCTTGTACTGAATGAATCTTTAGCTTTTGCTCAGCCTGTGCATTTAGCATTGTTTGCTTGTTGTTATTGTTGCTGTTGCACTGCGTCAACTTCTAATTTCATTTGAAGTCTTCGCGTCCGTCGCTTTGATGCCACGGCCAAGCGTTGTGTGCTGCTTTC